TGTGTGTGTGTCCATGCTCATCGCCAAATTTCTGATATGCCCCAGTAGCATCTCTCCCGGGGCCAGGGGAAAGGCTGTTACTGTCAGCAACGGCCACAGGGGCTCGCTGGAAACATGGATGGTACCATTAAGGGCATATGGGAAACTTTTGTGCTGGTTCTCAACGGCCATCCGGTAGGGGCATACTGAAAATTTGGTACTGGTACCGGTAGGGGTACTGGTACCGGTAGGGGCATATGAAACATTTTTCAGGCCCAAACGACGCCAGGGGTTTTCTGGAAACATCATTCGTGGTCAGAGGGGCACGACAAGGTAAGTCGGCCGTCAGAGGGGAACGCTGCAAATAAACGCAAACTTCAGGGGCATTTCGAAAATTTTCCCAAATAAAAATCTCTGTCCTGAAGAAAAACAAACTGAACATCTTTTGTCCCAGGGTCACGTAGGAATTCCTTACCAAAAAAAATAAAAATAAAGTTATTCCTTCCCTTTCCCTACCCCCCCGCCCCCCCCCCCCGGGTGGACAAGTGGTCCCGTTCACTCTGGTCTCCTAGATGCGCGAAACCAACTCGATCCCATCGTGAAAAAAATTGAACCCAGTTATCAGAAATTCTACTAGTGAAGTTGAAAGTTTTGTTCCTTGTTGATGGCTACGGTCTTCCGCCGAACACAACGCACCCTTATTTTGGCTGTACCTGACCGGAAATATAGCTTGGATATGTTCATTGTGAGAGTGCGTTATGTTTGGGGGAAGACGGCAGGCTCCTGCCTGTGACCATCTGCTCCTCACCAGGCTCACCACTATATTGGAAAGAAAAAAAAAAAAAAAAAAAAAAAAAAAAAAAGTAAAAAAGTGAATTTGAATATTTTGGTGAAATAGAGTTTTGGGTGCACAGGATAACGGTTTCTGCTGTTCTTCTCAAGCAATTTAAATGAATTATATCTAGGCTACCAGAGTGGCCCGGGTCCACCTACCCGGCCGGGCCAAAAAGAAATAAAAAATAACAAAATAGAATTTATTTTTTAATAATTTGAATTTTTATTTTAAATTTGGTAAAGAGTTTCGATGTGACCTTGAGGCAAAAGTTGTTTATTTTTTAATTTGAATTTCTATTTTAAATTTGGTAAAGAGTTTTTTTTTTTTTTTTTCTTTTACAAGAGAAACTCTGCTCATTCATATTACGTAAAGAGTTTCAATGTGACCCTGAGGCAAAAGTTGTTCAGTTTATTTTTCTGCATAACATTGTTTTTTTTCCGTATTTTTTGGAATTTGTTGTTTTTGGCTGGGACCTTCCCTGGGGCCTCGACCCACTAGCCAAGCGTAAAACGGTGTGTGGCATGCAAAATGTGTTTAAAAAATGGAAATAAAGGTTTTCCTGCATTTTATTTTCCCCCGTTGATAAGGAGCCCGCAATAATGACTGACATCCGTATCCGTTTCATTCCAATACATGTGACACCCCGACACTGCGCCCTTGTGATGATAGGGAAAGTACGGACGTGGGTTGGCCAAGAGGTACTCATGTCTGTTTAGGCACCTAGACACCTTTGTAGGCAACGTACAACCATGTTTTCGGAATGTAGACGCGTATTAGGTTTTGTGCATCCGATTGAAAGGAATGCACTGACACCGCATTTCTCGCCCTTATTTGTGGGCACTGCTCAAAATGACGCCGTTATTACTTCCATTCGTCATTTTTTTCAGACTTTCCAAGCAAAAATCCGTTGGCGCGAAGCTTGGATATCACCCCATGGGTCAAAAATTGTTGTTATTGAAGCTTTGCGCCAACGGAAAGTGGCCAACAAAAACACCAAAAAAAAAAAAAAAAAACTTCCTTTTGGCCGTCAGCCGGGAAAAACCGCTCGCCCTACTCGTAAACATCATCACAGTTGATGTGGAGGGCAATCGGCGGCTGTTTTGCGTCACCCCGGGCCACACGGTGATCGAAAGCCCAGCCTCCAAGCGTAACGCTTGGCTAGTGGGTCGAGGCCCCTGGTCCTTGCACGGCCGGGCCGCCCGGCTGGTAGCCTAGAATTATATCCTTTTTTTTTTTTTTTTTTTTAAGAAAAAGCAACTTAGCAACCTTTGTGGTGTGCCCCGGACACTCCGGCCAGGTGCTCATCGGGTTGCCGTTTGTATTACATGGGCAGGAAATCGGGCCTGGCGTCCCGCACATGAGAGTGCAATTTGTTGATCCAAAGTCAGAATAATCCACAATCAAGTAAGCGAGAATCTACAGAATACTGGTTTGGTTCTCTTGTGGTTATGTTGTCATGTTATAGCAGCATCAAAACGAAATTCTGCGTGATGGACAATGTTTCCTAAATAAGAAGGTTGTGTGTTTCAATGCTATTCCTCCCACTGCCAGCGATTGTTATTATGTTGAGTTTTTTCCCCTTTTGGTCATTTTTTGGCTAAGGCCTGGACCCCACTGGCCAGCGGCCTGGAAATGTTTGGGCGCTGTAGTGTTGTCCAGACCTCACAGGTGTTGGAAATCGGTGTTGAAAGTCGGCCCAGAAAGGAATTCCAGACCCCACCGGTGTTGGAAGCAGGTCGCGGAAATGCTGACGGGGCGTTTCTACTCGGTCGGCGGTCTGGAAATTCAATGCAGACCGCTTTCCATTCCCTTTCCAAGGAGGCGTCCAGACGAGCAGGGGGGGGGGCATGTCAATCCGTTTCCAGACAACGGCTGGACGGCGTGGACCACACACCCTCGTCGTGGACCGTTTTTTGGACCGGGAGGCCGCCGCGGACATGCTCTTTTTTTTTTGCCATCCCACAGTTCTCCCAAGGGCCCGAGGGTCTGGGCCATCCATGCTCCCCTCACTTTACGAAGGGCATGGTGAACTGCCCACATCCGATGGATGCATGGCAACGCTGACTGTGATGGGAACGGCGTCGACCCTTGCACACCAGCTGCCGTGGCCACTTGACGAGCACACAACCTTTGCGGACCCGTGCTCCTTGCCAAACCCTCCTCCATCGTCGACGGCTATGGCTTCCCATCAGTGCTCCGTACCTGCACTCCCACTCTGGATGGCCCGGCTGGGAAAACTGGTTCCGACGGCAGGAGTTGGGGGGGGGGAAGCCGCCGATGCTCACAACGGTAATTTCCGTGCACAGACGGGTCCCGCCGCCCGAGCGGACCCCATGAGACCGTTGTGTGCTGCACAGTACTTGTGCGGCACCCGCCACACCAGGTCGCGCACGGCCACACACGGACATGTCCTGGCGCAGGCCAATAGAAGGCCATGGACCACAGCCCCGGCCAGCCTTGTCTTTTCGGGAAACACCCCGGGGGGATTTCCTATTCGGGCATGTCCATCCGTTTCCAGTGCCGAGAGTCAAGGGTGGCGGTGGGGTCCCAACGAAACCCGGCAAGTTCTTTCCAACCACGCTGGGCCGTGTTTTGTAGCCAACATCAGTTTCCAGCCGCCGGGCAGTGGGGTCCAGGCCTAAGGGTCAAGTTTTTGAATTGACAATGTTTCCCGAAGAAGAAGGTTGTGTGTTTCAATGCTCTTCCTCCCAGTCCCAGCGAATGTTATTATGGTGAGTTTTTTGAACTTTTTTTCCCCTTTTGATCACTCTTTGGATGAGGTTCAAGTTTTTGAATTGACAATGTTTCCTATGTCATGTTGAGTTTTTTCCTCTTTTGTTCATCTTTTGGCTAAAGGTCAAGTTTTTGAACCGACAGTGTTTCCTAAAGAAGAAGGTTGACAATGTGTGTTTCAGTGCTCTTCCTCCCAGTCCAAGCTAATGTTATGATGGTGAGTTTTTTCCCGTTTTGGTCATTTTTTGGCTAAGGGTCATCCTCTTGGCTAAGGGTCATCCTTGCTCATGAAAATTTGCAACTGCATCTGAACATAGTTGCGGTCAGATGAGTCCAGGAAAGTCCGGGTGTGGATATGGTCCTATGGTCCTGTATAAGATGCACGGACTCTCCAGTTTCTTATCCAATCCAACATAAATGTGTCACCTGCTCTGTCTGGGCTGATTGTTTTTGTCTGTCTGGGTTGTGTCTTGGTGTATATGTGTTTGTAGGTTGCCTCTCCTCAGTATCCTGGAATGTGACGGGACCAAAATTACGCTCAGATTCGGAGTGGCTGACCGGTTTTTGAGTGGCCGTATCTGACTGCAATTACGTCCAGATTCCCTCGCATGTATAACATTGAGTCTGCTTGTGTGTATGTTTGGTTCACCGTGGATCCACAGTCCTGTCAGAATGTGAGGCATGCACGCAGAAGCGCATGCGCGGTCCCCTCAGAATGCGAGGCATGCACGTAGAAGTGCATGCACGCGGAAGCGCATGCCTGTGGAAGTGCATGGATGCAGAAGCGCATGCACCTAGAAGCGTATGCACGCAGAAGCACATGCACGTAGAATTGCATGCACGTGCATGCTTGCGGAAGTGCTCGCAGGCGGAACCACATGCACGTAGAAGTGCACGCGGGCAGAGCTGCATGCACATAGAAGTGCTTTCATGCAGAAGCGCATGCATGTAGAAGTGCACGCTTGTAGAAGCACATGCACACAGAAGTGTGCGCTTGTAGAAGCTAATGCACGTAGAACGGTAGAAGTGCTACTGCTACAGGCTGTGTAACTGTAGGTTAAGTTTCTGTAAGGTAAGATTGGAGGAAGACTAGGAAGAAGGGGAGGAAGAAGGGGAGGAAGAAGGGGAGGAAGAAGAGGTTAAAGAGGAGGAGGAAGAGGATGGGAGACACTCTGGCTTCGCCCTGTCCTTTCATGTCTCGTTTGGAGGAAGAAGAGGAGGATGCTAAGCACAGGCAAGAGTTCGCGTCTGCAGCACGGACTATACTCGATCGCCCAGAGTTGCTTGACGTGACATTCGTGTGTGAGCGGTCGAGGAAGGTGAAGGCGAATAGAGCGTTGTTGGCCAGTGGCAGCGAGTACTTCTCCAAATTGCTGTATGGAGATATGAAGGAGAGATCAATGGACACAATTCCTCTGCCTACTGTCAAGGCAGGCAGTCTGCAGGCTGTGGTGGGTTACCTGCATGGCCGTTTCTTCCGATGGGAAAGCAACAGCTGCTGGGCCGATATGGTAGATATATACTGTCTTGCCGAGCAGTATCAGGTCGATAGCTTGTGCCAGAGGATCTTACTCTTTGTGTCTAGGCTTGGCTATGCGCACGAAATAGGCGATCTGCTGAATGCGGCGGTTGTTCGGCACGCGGAAGAGATACTAAAGATCGCAGTGTCTGTCATGAACAACGTTCTGGTGTTCAATTCTTCATCGTTCCTTGGGTGGAGAAAGGAGAGCATCAAGTATTGTCTGGACTTTGTGCGGTTCCATCCAAATGTGACCGAGACGTTGATTGCGGAGGCGGTGCTTGCGGCAGCGTCGAGTAACGTCGACGTCATCGCCAATAAAGAGAAATGTGAGCATATCCTTTCTGATGAAGAACTTATGGCATTGAAGTCCCTGACTGAAAGTATCTCCTTGAAGTTCGGGGAAGTGTCTGGGAATCCCGCCTGTTCAGGAGTTGATTCAGGAGGACCTACTTCTTCGTGTTCTCCATCATCGTCGTCGTTGCCGTCGACGCCATCGTCGCCTTTGTCGTCGCTGTTGTCGCTGCCGTCAACGGAACAAGGTTGCTTGTCGAAGGAAGATTTGGAGGAGATATTCACAGGCCACATTAGCCTTCCTCTGCTGGAACCTGGGTTCATGAGGGAGAAGGTGGAACCGCTGGGAATTTTACGTCAGGAGATCCTGACGGCGATTTACAGAGTGCACTCAGTCTGCTTCTCAAGAGGCATTTCGCCGAGTTGTTTCTTCACAATTCCCTGGCGGTCTCTGAAACAAAGAGTTTCCTTTGCGCCTGTGGAAACCGACCGAGGCGAAATCTCGGATGCCTACAGAAAAGTAGCCTTGCCTTCGCTCTGGATTGGCGCCCCGAACGCGGGACTCGTGACTTCGGAGGAGTTGCCACAGAGAGTGAGCTGCTCTGATCACCATCAAATAGCAGTCATGCAATTACCACTCATCAGCGGCAAGCACGTGTGGCGGATACGAATTGTGAAGAAGTGTGCCAGTTTCGCCGTCGGGGTTTCGTCGATCGACAACACCCACCTAACCATGACGATTCCGAACGCGCACTGGATGCTGAGCAGCAGTTGCTGGTCGTATGTGACGGCACCCTGGGAACTGTCCCGAATGTTTGTCAGGGCGGCGGGGATTGACTTATTCGATAAGACGGGAGCCTCGATCATTGTCGTATTGGACATGAAGAAGAGGACACTGACTTTCGCAAACGATCTGGAGAGCTACACCAGTTATGGCGGAGAGTATCCGGTCGCATTTTATGGCCTCCCTTGCGACGCCGGTCTGTACCCTGCGTTGTTGATGAGCTGTAGTGGTTGCGCGGAGATAGAATGGATTGAGAGCTCGCCCCGGGATCCATTTGTCCGTTGATTCGAAGCTCGAAGTGCCTCTGGAGCGCTCAGTCATTTTGCTTCTTTCCTTTTTCGCCTCTGTGCGCATGTGTGCGTGTTGAGGGGGCGGGTGAGTGCTCGAGAGAGAGAGAGAGAGAGAGAGAGAGAAGAAACCGACAGGAGCGACAAGGTGGTGGGGTTGATGATGTCGAGGTGGGAGAAGGTCTTTCCAGTCCTGCCTACAGAGTAAAATTGAAGGCTGCGAATTCTTTTCTCTGAAATTTTCTCCGATTTGTTTGCCATTCCTAAAAGGATCACAAGGTAGGAACAAGGTGGAGATGCAGGATCTCAGTAGATTCATGTGCACGCTGCGACTCAGTGCGTCGCAGGGTGGTTTACGTCAAGTAGGATTATGTGAATAGCGATACGCGTCACAGTGTAGATGCAGAGGTGCAGGTGGGAGGAGGAGTGCGATGGTGGATAGATGTGGCCCATGGAGTTGTGCGGTTGGATGGCATTATAGTGAATGTGGAGGCAGAATGCCTAGACTATATCATCATCCCAAGCAGGGATGTCTGGCGTGTAGTCGTTGAGGGGCGCAGCGCATGTATCAAACACATGACTTATGGGTGCCGAGTCTCTGGGTAACCGGTAGTGGCAGCCATAGTGCTTATCACGGTTGCAAGGGTTGCATGGATGTCGCGTCTGACTGCGGGGATAGAGACGAGAGGGGTTTGTCGGATATGGTGTCGCTTGCTGTGTGCTGTGTGTGATATACTGCTGGCCGTGTTCCGGATGGACATAAGCGTGGGGTGTTTGCAGCGGTGGCGCAAAGCAGTGCAGATGTTGCGTGATGGTGTTCCCCCCCTCCCCCCCCCCCTCAATTTGTGTTCTTTGGAGACATATTTTGTTCATTCCGGGTTGTTTTGGGGGGGGGGGGCGCATGGTTTTGGCCCTTTTGGGTTCAGCGTTGGGAGTTTGTTTTGTTGTCTTTATGAGCCCTTGGTCTGACTTGCTTCAAGGGTGTGCCTGGACGAATTTGCCCAGGTGGGCGTGGTTCTTTGCTTGTACCTTAACAGGGGCATTCTGGTTTCGTGAGTACGAGTCAGTTTTGAGGCCATAGGGGTAGGTAGGGTTGGGGTCGGTAAGGCGCTGATTTTTGTAAAGTGTGAGCGGCGAGGGGTTGGCGTTGCGTCGGTAGTGGTGGCGTGGGGGGTAGGTAGTGGTGAGGAATTGGGGTTGAAAAGGGACGACGTGGGTTTTTGTTCTGTACAGGAGCAGTGCCGCCACTGGGTCTGTCCGATGTGCAGCGACAGGTTCCATGCACCGCAGACATTGTTGGGTGTTTGTTGGCTTATACAGCCCAGCCTGACGGCCTGAGGGCTTATCTGAGCAGTTATGGGAAACGGTGGCTGCAGAGCAAGGCGCCGAAGGCGGGGTTTGTTGTGGCACAGTCTCAGAGCTAGTGTTCTGCGAGAGGATTTATTTGTTGTTGACGTCTGGTAAGAGGGGACCCGGTGCAGGGCGTTTTTTATGGTAGTACACGGACTGAGTCTGGGTGGAGCGATTGCACGAATGGCGATAAAATAAGGGTTATTAAACCACCAGTACTTGGCCCAGCTATCGGCCGCGGAAAAAAATAGAGTACAAACGTTTCTAGTTGGATGAATTTGGGCGCTCCTGTAGTGGCCCGTATGTTTCCTAAAATCGTGGCGCGTTAACGGGCACGACTGTAGGAAGTACTGGTGGTTTAAGGGGTGCAAGGTTGGGGGTGGAGGGAGGGCAAGTGCAGTTAATACCACCAGATGGCTGTGTGCCCTTTGGTGGGCTAAAAGATGCTAAGGGGTTCCCCATGGGGTTGTGTACTGTCAGGGTGCCAGTGCAAGGGACAGGCCTGGGAAGATCTGCATGGGGCAGGGAAGATGATCTGCACAGCAGTTCCCACAGTCCGATGGACCGACGCTAGGTGTTAATGTGAAGTTTTTTATCCTGGTGGGCACATTATTGTTGTTAGGGGGGTTTACCACTTCAATTGAACCCCCTAACAATCGTTTTTTTATCCTGGTGGGCACATATCCAAGTGCTGACGAGGCGTGCATGCAGCCACAAGTTTCGTGTGGCTCAGACAGACCATTGGAGCACAATCGCTGGCAGCACCAGGCCAAAGAAGGCCGGCAGCGGTTCGGTTTTCTTGCGTGCACAGGGAATTAATTTTGCGGGTCGGCGCGGGAACGGTCAAGAGAGAGGTCGTTTTCTCTTACAAGGCATGCATGTGGCGGCAGGTTCCTTGGCTCGGGCTACTGGAGCGAAATGGCTGGCAGCACCAGCCCAATGAAGGCCCGCTCCGATCGGATCCGTTTTCTTTTTGGCGCGCAGTGAATTTGAGGCTCCGCAAAGGAAGGGTCAAAAGTAGTGGCAGTTCTGGTTAAAAAAAATAAAAAAATAAAATTGCTGGCAGTTTAAAAGCAAAACAAAGCTCAGAGTTCAGTGTACAGAAGGTTCACAAAAAAAAAAAAAAAAAAAGGCGTAAATTTCTTCGGTCCTTGATGAAAACAAAAACCTTTGTTCTTCAATGGAAGGGCCTGCCAGTGGAGGGAATTTGCCCCTCTGACTGGCGGGGAAATTTCCAGTAGATCCCCCCAAAAAAAGAAAAAAGGAACAAAAAGTGATTGGCAGTCGATAAG